TTTGATGTTTCAGGAATAGAACATGCAGTAAAAACCTTTTTGTTCTGAAAAACTTCATCAGTACTTTCAGTACTAAATACAACCCTAGAGGACATTTTTTTACTTTTAAGTGATTAATATAGATTGTTTTGTAAATAAATTACTCTACAATAAAATTGTTTTGCAAATAAACTAATCCTTTCTGCTTCAGATTCATTTTCTTTTTGTTGTTCTTTCCTAAGAATCTGCCTGTTATCAATCCTTTTATCTAATTTCTTCATCATCATTGTCTTTGAACTCATACTGATCTAGGGCAGATGGAAGAGGTGCTTTAGTGGGAAGAATCTGTTTACTTTCACAGAGGAGAGAGTCCTCTTCTGTTTCAGAGTCAATAAGATCATCAACACTAGACGGATTGACAGATTGAGCCTCTTCAGAATCTAGAATAAGAAAAGTAAAGTCTTGTTGGTTAAAATACAATTATGAGAAAAATAAGACAGATGGAGAAACATAGCTTATATAGTAAATATTTTAAATAACTCAAGACAACACCCTTTCAGGTTTACAAGTACATCATGCAATAAAAGTATGCAAGAACTCTGGTACAGTATTGTAGAACTATTTATAGAGAATGTCCTTTATGATGTTTTCCTTTTGACCTTTCTACAACAAGTATACGTTAAATTCAAAATATATAAAAATGCATAAAATCAAGAGGACTCTATACTCAGGGCAATTGTTAACTACCAAAATGATAAAAATAAAAATCTGCACATATCTTTTCTGGAGAAAGAACAATTAACTTACATAAATCTTTTGAATATGAAAAGAGTAAGAACTATCAAAGGGTTTAAGTAAGTAAACAAGATAAATTATTTTGTGTGTGTCAAAGCACTTGTCAGTAAAAATGTAAATGATCACATGATTCCTATGAAGAACAATATTTTATAAGGTTAAGTTTCCTCCCAGTGCTGGTGATTGAACCCAGGGCCTTGTGCATGCAAGGTAAGTTCTACCACTGAAATACACATGCAGCCATAGGAAAATTGATTTAACCATACCAAAACATGATTCTTGGGGAAAACAAACTTTGAAAAACTAAAAGAAATAACCTCCAGTTCATAATCAAGATTGTAATGGATAAATTAGATTGTTATATCATTTGAAAAGAGGTACTCTGTTCCTTAATTTGTTATCTACAATTTTGACAGATACTAAGAAACATTTTAGTTCAACAGGATAAATAATGGGCTAGATTCTTATGTATCTTTAATTACTTGAAAGCTTAATTTTATTAAATTACATCTAGCCTATTGTATAAATATAGCCAAAGTCTTGCTAGATTCTTTTTTATTATATTTTCTTTAACAAAAAAGAATGATTATCTTCCTGGGTTGGCAGCTTTTCTTACCTCAAATGTATTCATGGATTGTAACTGAAAAGAGAATTTAGGACTCTAAGGAAAAAGAAAACTGAGACCTGTGACAGGGGGAAGTTCCCTAAATTCATCACAATAATAATTAAACATTTAATTTACTGATATCATGTGTATGTGTTCTGGGAATAGAACTGAGGGCCTCACACATGTCACTGAGCTGTATCTCTAGCTCCTGGCTTAATAGTTAATAATACAAAAAGTACACCTTGTAATTTTCTCTTCAAAGGAAAATTCAAATTCTAGAAACATTTTTGAGTATCCATAAGGTACCAGGCACTGTATTAGGATCTCTGTGAGATCACAATCTTTCTTTTGAGGACATAGTAACATTCCCACACATACCATTATAACGTGTCTTTCAATGATGTATTTACTCTATATGTACTCATTTATATGGTAAACAAAATTGGAATTGGAACTCTGCATACATTTAAAATGCTATTTTTAGTCATCAATTGGTGCAATCATTCTGAAAAGCAGTTTGGAGATTCCTCAGAAAACTTTGAATGGAACCACCATGTGACCAAGTTGGAACTGGAGACCATCATGCTAAGCGATTTAAACCAATTGCAAAAAACCAAAGGCCAAATTTTCTCTCTGATATGTAGATGCTAATACACAACAAGGAGGGTAGGTTTAGGGAAGAATAAGAAGTTCTTTGGATTAGACAAAGGGGAACAAAGGGAAGGGAGGGAGAATAGGAATATGAAAGACAGAAGCATGAATCAGACATTGCTTTCCTATGTTCATATATGAATATATAACCAGTGTAACTCTAAATTATGTATAACCATAAGAATGGGATGTTTTACTCCAAGTATGTATGATATGTCAAAATACATTTCACTGTCATGTTTCAAAGAAAAATTTTAAAATGCTACTTGCAGTCATTAAAATTGCAATATGCATTATGAAGTCATAGAACTTTGTCCAACTAATTTGAACATCTATTTAGGGGCTGTATTTATGTTGGTCCTTGAGAAAATGAATCAAAGAATACATATGTGAACATCTTATTTATAATCTGATCTTGAGAACATTCCTCCCCTTGCAATTTTCAATATTTAGTTTTTCATGGTTTCTATTCACCTTATTTCTCACTAGATTATTAGCTTTCCTGGAAATTGGGATCCCTTTTTATTGTTCCATAAAACACAATGTACAATGCTCTACATTAGACTCAGTCTTGGGTAAGTATTTATCAAGCTCCACTAGGCTGAGCGCTAGGTGCTAAGGGAAGGTAAAATGAAAAGATCACAGTCCCTGCCTCAAGAAGCACTGTACTTTTAAGCGAAATAACACAATAATTGTTAAAATGGCAGTAGATACTATGCCCACAGGATGCTCTCAAGAATGAGCAGCTCAGGAGGAATGGAGAATGAATGAAGTTTTCTCAGAAGTAGTACTGAAATATGCACAGGAATTTCAGGAAAGATTTAAAGGCATGAAAATAACTATGATGTAAACAAGCAGCTGAAATTACAGTAGGTACCATTCCCCTCTTTCAATAGATTGTGGACACTTTGACCCTGTATTTTCTTTGCTATTTTAATAGCTGCATATTACACTTAATAACAACTTAAACTAATTTCTCTATTGAGGCTATATTTAGGTTGCTACCCATGACTTGATATAACAGATATTCAACAATGGAAAAGAATTTTAGGGTGTACTGTTACTTGGAAAAAGCAGAATATCAATATTTGCAGGTATGTAAGAAAAAAGGAACAAGAGAAACATATTGAAATAGTATCTGCAGGAAACTACTTGGAAGGATTGTGACTTTTCTTCTTTAGGATATTCTACATTTTCCACATTCCTAGCACAATAGATGTATTATCATTAGGAAAAAAATATTTTTGAAAAGTTCATGGTTATAAAATGTTTCTATTAAATTTTTAAATTATTGTTATGGCTTATTTTTCCATGTATGTGTTGTTCTTTTTGTGTAATGTCACTTTGTAATTTCCTCACCTCTTTTCGTCTGAACATTTTATACCTATACATATCAGAACAGCTCAATTATACAGTACATATGTTACAATACTTCATTGAAAATATCATAGTGCTTGAATTTTTGAATATATGCATTAAAGTTTAAACAGAAATTCTCTTAAGGGAGTTACTCATACATGTATACACTGAGAGATACATAGTTTGTCTTTTATGTTCTTGATTCTTCAATTGAATGTATGTTCTTCAGTGTAAATATCCTGACTCCATCCTCCTAATGGTTCTTTTAAAAAAGATATGTCCTGTTTTAAAGAAAAACTATAAGGTCTAAAATTATCAAGTTAGCAATTTCCCTGGGTGAACGAACTCAGTCTGACCTAGAGTACCAAGTTACATGCTTACCAGCCACACTCTGACAGTTCCTCTGTACCATCTGTGATGATCTTATACTGCTTGCAGAGGCAGAATCTGATCACCAGCCTCTGAACCTCAGCAAAGATCATCACCTCCATGATGTCCTTTCACTTGTGAAATAGACTGAAATCCTTTTCCTTCCTTGAGTATTCCTCAATTTTTAAAATCTACTTTAATCACTGAGAAATATAGTAAACATCTATTTAGGGGCTGTATTTATGTTTATGTTATGATGAACTCAGGTTCTGGATTCTAGTGGAACAGTAGTTTTTCAAACAAATAAACAAACAAACAAAAAACATTTGTCCTGCTCTTCTTAGTAGATGGCTGCTTAAGTGAGAAAATCATCTGTCTCCAAATCCTCAGATTCCTATACTCTAAAATGGTCATGGTCATTATTATACTAAGCTACTATTCGGTCACACTTTTAAAAGTCTTTAACACCTGTTTAACCACTATATATGAACTTGTACTTAAAATAGCTTATAAAGTTACTTCTAACAAGAGGCTGGAGATATAGCTAGGTGGTAGAATGCTTGCCTAGCAGAGGTGAGGCCCTAAGTTAGCTTTATTTGCAAAAATAAATAAAGTAACAAAAAAGAACCTTTAAAAATTTTTAATGTATATCATATATCAATTTACTCTCAACAATCCAATAATCATATTTGGAAAACTAGGAAAGATAGTGATAAATAATCAACTGTTATAATGTTTCATTAAAATTTTGTTAAATAATTTATTTCCTATGAAAAATAATAATTAAGCTCCATTTATTACTTAGCAAATATACTTAAGTATATTTGAAAGTTGCTCTTTTATAACTTATGACAATTTTAGATATCTGTGAGTAAGACTGGTGTCATTTAAAGAATGGTTAATGTTATAGGAGATCCCAATTGTTCTTAGGCTTGACTGAATCTACCATGAATTTTCATAATTTCTTGCATATCAAGATCCAAATGTGACCAATTTTGGGAGATCACAATACACATAGTAAATCGATCCCCTTGAAATCTCTCTAAAATAACATGAAGAGAGGTTTTGATAGGCTTTTGAAATCATCTGCATTGTACATTACACATTTATAGGAAATTAATTTTTCTATTAACATTCACATACATTTCAGGAGGGTGTGATTTTGACACAATACTAAATATACCATGATGGTAAAAGTACAGTTAAGTCCAAGTCTCTACCTCCCATTTTTCCTCTGACATTCAGCCAACCAACTGTCTGGACTCCTTTCAATTACCTCAAATTCAAGATTAAAAACATTAACTCATTGTTTTTCTTCCACAACTACTTCCACTTGCTGCTTAAGCCAATCTTCCCTACCTGCAAAATACAAACAAGAAAGTTACTCAAATTAAAAAAAAATCCCAGAGGAATTTTTTTTATTTATTAAAATATTATTTTATTTTTTTTTATTTTTCCAGAGTCATTTTCAACTGTCTCATTTCTTCAACTTCCAAATTCAACCATTCAGTTTCAATCTCTGAAATATCTCTGAAATCCATGTTTTCTTTATTCCCACTGCCTCTGTTGCAGCTCAGGTTTTCACCAGTTCTTGCCTAGGTAAATAGTTGCCTTAAAGCACAATGTGGCCAGCACTACAGACCATATTACATCTTGTCTTATTTGAGCCGCAAGTTAGTATAAATCTTCCCAAGATCTAGACTACCACCTTTACTACTACTAAGTAGTAACTAAGAGCCCTGAGATGAGAGAAGAAACCAGCAATGCATCAGCCATACAGTAAATGATGGCTGAAAACTATATAAAATTACATAATGAATAAATTTATATTTTATGTTTTTATGTTGTTCTGTATTCTAAACAAACAATATCTAATATTTACAGTAGCTATTTTAATTCCATTTTAAGAGACAAGCAACAGCACCATTAAGGTTCAAGCTCACCTATTGTAGGATGTAACCCAGGGTATATGACTTCATAGTATGTTCTACATTGCCCCCCCCCATGTTTCATTACTTCTTGCTATACTAGGATAGTATTTCATCTTCCTCAAATTTCAATGCATATATATGGATTCTCAATCAGTTGCTTCTCATTATTTTCCATCTGCTTAATCATGACCAGGGAGAAGTCAGTTTAAAGATTTTATACTTAAGAAGGGTTCAATCCCCAGTACAAAACAAAACAACAACAAAAAAAGAGAATCAAGGGCTGGGGTTGTGGCTCATTGGTAGAGTGCTTACCAAGCATGTGTGAGGCACTGAGTTCAATTCTCAGCACTACATATAAATAAATAAAGTCCACTGACAAATTTTTAAAATTTTTTAAAAATACAGAATCAAGAAATCATCTGAGGGATAAATTAATTGGAATGTGATAGATATCATTATCCAAGGTACATGTATGAAGACACAAATTGGTGTCAAGATACTTTATATACAGAGATATGAAAAAATTGTGCTGTATATGTGTAATAAGAATTTTACAACATTCCTCTGTCATTTATTTTTTAAAAATGACAAAATAAAAATAAAAAAATTAGGATAAGATAAAAATATCAAATACAAATTCATTCACTATGTAGTTCTGTGTTGTTTTCAGGTCACAACTATAACATTCATTCTAAACTCATTATTCTAAACTCAGCAATTAGAAGAGATGGCCAACAACTCACATGTGACATGACTTCCTGTGGAAGTACAGTTACATTTGATTAGTTTCATAAGCTACCTTCAGCTTCCACACAACCTGCCCTTTCATAAATTATACACTGAAATGCCTATTTTCCTTCATTGAGATTTTGATTTTATATATCAATTGAACTCAGCCACAAGTTTATTTTATACAATAGCACCATTTTTATGTAGCAGTGTTTATAATTATTTGTATGAAATATTATGAAAATGAAATAAAATGCTTATTCTAGTAGAAATTAAGATAAAGGGGAAAACTGATAAAAGTGTTTAATGTGAAAGAAAGGCACATTGGAGAACCTACATGAAATACTGTATCTATGCATCTGTCTACACAAACAGGTAGGTATAATACTGCATGAGAAAGTACGCTGTACAGAAAACATCAACATTTATAAAAGTGATAAAAAGTGAGGTTTGAAAAGTATGGGCAAAATTAACATGTAAATGATTTTGAGAATGCATATAAGATATTTCTGTCAAAATTATGTGCTGAAAATCTGTGCAAAAGAAATCCAATGTTTACCTCAGTTCTTGACAAAAATTACAATTGATCAGAATAAGGAAAATTAACATTATGATATCCTATTCAATTGTCATTGAAATCTTGCAAAATCATCACAGGAAAGTCTTTTCTTCTGAACACTAAAGTCACCATATGCAAACAGAAAATTTGAATTTGAAAAAAGCAAATACTTTAAAACACATAACTCTTTAAATCACACTATGAATTTGCAATGAATAAAATCTGGACACTGGCAACATTTGCAGACATGATTAGGTTGTTTCAACTAAAAATTGCATGAACATAAGAAGGAAGGATGTATGGATACTTACTAATGTGCATGTATCAATATATCACAGTGAACTTCACCTTTATGTACATCTATAAAGCACCCATTAAAAATAAATAAGTGATTGGAAAGAAGACAATATAAGAGAAGACAGAGATTAGGGGAAGGAAGAAAGGGGAAAGAAGGTGGAGCTTAAGGGACTGAAAAGGAGTAAATTAAATCCATGCATTTATGATGTCAAAATAAGCCCAATTATTATGTACAACTACAAGAAACTAATAAAAGCATAATTGCTTATCAGTCTTTTGGCTAAGATCAGGTATAAAAGCATTACAAAAAAGACTGGAGACACATCAAATTCAATGTAAAGGATTCATTTGGATTCTGATTTTGAAAAAAAATTAAAAATATGTAATTGCCTTTATTAACTTGCCAAATAGTGGTATATTTAAGTAGGTAATTAGGGAGATTTCAACATAAAGGTTGTCCTGGATTCTGTAAGTTCAGTCAACCTTGGATCATTCAAATTAATTTTTACTTTTAGCAACCATTGCCACTAATTTACATTAAAAGTGTACTGTAAACTTGGGTTCAGAGCAGAATCAGGCTATTCTATCTTGAGACTGAAATTCTGTGATGATGTGACTAGTGAGAGTTCTGATTTGTCCATTCCTATATCATCTTCGTTTCACCATGGTATTCACATGATTAAATAAATGACTATCCAGAATGAAAATTGTCCAGATTATTCAGATATAGTCATGTAGCAGAATGTATGAATAGATAAATAAAATCTAACATAAAAATTCCAAAAACATTCAATGAGAAATGACTTGACACATAGGATTTCAAGAGCTGGCATCTGTTAGCTGTTATTTGCAAACATGGTGGGACTTAAGCAATGGAAAGAACAGTAAAATTTATCCAAATTCTCTTTCTTGTCCTCACAGAATAATTTCTGGACCGATATGGTGATACTGTTTTTCTTCTATATTTCTCAATGAAATATATTTTTGGGTTTCTAAACATAGGATCTACTTGGTTTGAAATCAGGTGGTTGGAACTCTGACTTATCTCAAGCATGCTGTAGATTCAATATTTCATTGAAGGTGGTTTTGGTTAACTTGATCTGTGTCATTCTGTAAATGGGAACAGCACCTAATGTTTTTTACTTGCTCTGATTTGAGAACCTATGCTCAAGGTGGATTTATGTTTTAAAGAGTTTAATTAATTTACTTTGGTACTGGGGATTGAACCCAGAGGCTCATTATGTATGAAAATGTATTCGCTCATCATGGATTTTATATAATTGATAGTAGTGTCTATGGCAAAATACAAACCAAGAAATACACTAATTCATTTCATTTTTGAGTACGCTTGGGTACAGAAAGTGTTACGTTTGTATACAAAATGAAGAGACTAGTCATGTACACTTCATACTGTGTGATTAAATCAAGTAAATGTACAATTACTAAACCATACTTCAGTTATATGCTTGCATCAAAATCATCTGACTCTGAAGTTCCCATACAGAGTAACAAACAGCCTGGAACAGTAGAAAAACACACAGGTTCTGGCATCAGCCTTAGGTTCAAATGTTTTCTCTGCTACTTAACAGATCAGTAATCTATTATTAGGGATTAATATTTGCAGAGTTGTCATGAGGATTAAATGAACTAATTTATGTGAAGTGCTTGGGACATACCTGGCACATACCATGTGCCAAATCTAATCCCATAACTTTTCACATTTGTTTGATTTTGAACTATCTACTAAAGGGGTAGATGGTAAAAAAAGAGAGAAATAAAGGAGTAGGGTGTAATAAAAATGTAAGACTTTCATTTGCCAACTACAGTATTGGCAAATTATATTACCTTCCTGCCTAGGAAAAAATGTCTAATAAAAAATTATGTAACATACACTTGTGCCAAACATAATGAAGTATATGACAATTTAAAAAACCCTAAATGTAATCCCATAACTTTTCATATTTGTTTAACTTTGAATTATGCACTTATTTCATTTATCACAGGGATAAAATGAAGGCAGTGGAAACCACCAGACATAATAAATGTAAGTAGATATGACCTTTTTTTCCCCCATGGGATGAAGCAGTGAGGGGAAAGAAGAAATAGAGTGAATCAAAAACATTATATTGATATTCAATTTTCTATGTATTAGTTTTGGTGAAATTCACACATACACACAGATAGTTCCTCCCAGTGGTGGGCCTCCTTTGTATGTTAGGTAAGTGCTCTACCACTAAGCTATACTCCTAGCTCCAATTTATATTTTAAATATGAAGTATTAGTCACACAACCACTTGTGTAAAATATATTTTAGTATTGCTTGAAGAGGAGAGAGTAGAAAAGATAATGAAAAGAGAGTAATAAAGGGGTAGATGGTAATAAAAATGTAAGACTTTCACTTGCCAACTATAATTTAATGCTAGTATGTAATGATTTTACAAATATTTTTATAACTAAATCAAAACTTTTATTGAAAATTAGCCTTGGTAAAATGAACACTGTATTTATACAAGTTCTATTAATTGTCTCACTTATCTGTCCATCTTACATGCTCAGAATGCTTCTATTTAACAAGTTAATACTATTAGTAGCTTTACTGTCTTAGATAAATTTATTAAGTAAAAAAGCAAGCTCTCCAAAGCCAAGTTTCTCTGATATCGGTACTCACAACCATCATCCTGCATGATTAACTGTACAAATGTCCACTAAAATGAGATTTCCATAAGCATTGAAATATCTTCTGTCTTTATGTCATAATATAGCATACTTACTATAATCAATTTACATGTAAAGTGCTTTGGGGAAAAGTCCTACAAATTAAACATATCCATCTGAGGCTGAAT